ATATATATATATATATATATATATATATATATATATATATATATATATATATATATATATATATTTATATATTCATTTTGTCATCTGTGCTAAAAAAAGGATCGGTCGTTGAAATAAATAAATAAAGAACAGCCGCGAATACCGCGAAGAGTTAAGCGCATGGATCCGGGCCGTCGTTGCTTGTAAATTACGATTTCACGACGTCCCCTTTCGTCGTGCGATAAATCAGCGATCGGTCGACCCGATCGAGATTAATACACCTTGCTACCAGACGCGCAGTACGAGTCCTTTTCATTGCACCACTGTTACGCGCTCCGCGTGCCGACCGGCGTCATCTTTAAAACTGTATCCGTTGGTCGAGATTTATTCTGAATTTATAATACCATTGCATGCGACGGACGTGGCGCGTACGCTATTCGTGATCGATATATAGGGTGTAACTCAATGTGTCGGAAACATTTCAGAGATAGACTGAGCACAAAGCAGAAAATAAAATAAAAGTTCAAGCAGAAAGAGAAATATGGAATTTGTGAAAGAATGTATCAACAAGATTTGTTATGAATATTGATTTAATTCAACAATAAAAGACCTCCCAATGAACATACGTCAGATTTCTGTTTTTATTTCCGAGTTATGACACATTTTGTTTTCCAGCAAAGTTTTGTGGCTACTCAGCATCGCTTCAGCATCAGCTTGCATCTCGATGCAAGCTCATAAACATCTAGTCATCGATCTTTTTATCCTTTCGATGCATCCAGGCGCTTTACTAGAGAAACTTCGCCGAAGAGGAGCTGTGAAAGCAGAACTGCGGTCGAGTGAAATAAGTTATGATACTTCAACAGGAAGAATTACTGTTACACAAAACTTACCATAATTCGGAAACAAAATCGAATCGGACCAGATGTTTGCAGGAACTTACTTTGTTGGTTTTAAATGCCGAATCTATCACCGAAGTGTTCCCAGTATATCGAGTTGTTTTGAAAATTCGGGCCAATTTTCTAATAAAATTCAAGAGAGGAATTTTTATAGATCTCAAAATATTTCGACTTGATATATACATCATCCTATTTAAAAACTTTTTAATCGGATAATATCGGTTACATAAATGTAACGAGATTTAAAATTATGGAGAAAATATACCGCACGATGTGCAAGTCAAATTTTAGGGAATTTGTTTGATATGCTTGCAAATCATTTTGAAAAGAGATAAAATGGAAATGAAGAAATAATATAAAGCAAAAATATAAAATTCAAAACTGCTTTCAAATATACTTAAATATCGAGTGGCCTGTTTTTGTACCGCATTATTTTGTAACAAATTCTGTAACAAATTCTTTTTACAAATTCTCTAGAAAATTTTGAAACAATTTTTCTCAGTCGAGGGATCTAATTGTTTTCTGCAATTAACCAACTTTTAACATCGCGAATCTTTGCAACTTGTCTCAAATTAAAATTTCATTCAAGCAAACTCCATCTCAAATTAAGTAAAGAACACAGTTTTGAGATTCATTCGGTTATCTAAAGTTTAGTTCACAAAAGCGTCTTTTCTAGCGCTTCAGGTATGAAAATTATTGATGTCTCAACATTTCCATTGAGGAAATATTGACTCTAATTTGGCCCTTTAATTTATTCAGTGATGATTTAAAGTAAGTGATTTCCCCCGGGAGAGAGGTTTAAATAAGCATATCCAAATTTTTTTCTCTTTATTGCTATTTTCCTTAAAGAATTTCAAAAAATAAAATACAAGATATATCTAATTTGTATTTATTACAATGTAAAAAATTTACGTTGTTGAATAATAGAAAAATAAATATATACAAACAATAAATTTATGTTAAAAGTTATAAGACAAATCAAATACTAACAAGAAAAAAAATTCGAAATAACGATATTTCAGAATAACATTTCAGAAATATATTAAATTAAAAAATGTATTAAATTTAACACATTTCACATGCCCCAATTTATCCACTCCAATTAAAAATAAGAAATAGCTTTTTCTATAGACAATCCCTTAATAGAAAAATAAATATAAGCAATAAATTTATGTCAAAAGTGATAGTTATAAGACAAATCAAATACTAATAAATAAGAAAAAGAACTCGAAATAACGACATTTCAGAATAACATTTCAGAAATATATTAAATTAAAAAATGTGTCAAATTTAACACATTTCACATGCCCCAACTTATCCACTCTAATTTTTGTGTTAATTTAACACGTGGCAAATATGAAAACAAATAATACAAGTGATACATCAAAAATTGACACGGCAATGTAACACACTAAAAGTCAAGACTGGCCCTAAATGCGTCATTCACGTGACACCCAGTCGACGCGTGACACCCAGTACATACTGTCGAACGAATCGCCGGCAACGTAACAATTCCGAATGAGCCTTTACTCCCTGACTCGAATCGCCGTAGATATCGCGTTACCTCGGTGCACTGGCCTCGGCACGTTAAGACACCTAATTACACGTTACGTTCGACCCACACGTGCACGTACACGCGCGCACTTTACCGAATGGTAATGCTCCACGCTGCCGCCGGCCACCTTGACGGGCAGACCGGAGGAAAGTGGGTGAACTCGGCTGGATTTTGCGGCGAGAAACCGGGCGCGCTCGCGCTCCACCTGTCCGCGTTCTTCTTCCTTTTTTGTCCTTTCCCCGCCCCGCCGCGTCTGGGTCCGCGCCGAATCGAGATTAAGGGGATGCTGACGCCGAAAACTTTACCGACAGAACACTGACTGATTTCTCGCGCAAAGTTTACGTCGTAAAGGTTGCACAGAATTACACATGCTTCTAGGCAAAAATTAATTGCAGCTTTGCTCAATGTGTGACGAAAACGAAAAGAAAATTTTAGATGTAAAATCACAAGCTGTCAATTAGCGTAGCATTTGCCTAGTCCAAAAATTCCGCAGCTTGTACATTGCGGAAGTGTGGGTGCTCCAAACAGAAAAATTGTGAAACACATTGCGTCTGAATTCAGAAGCTCAAGTATGTCCAAAAAGTTTGCAGAAAGATTTCTATGCATATGCGGTTAGATTTTCCGCTAAATGTAGTAAAAGAAAGCAGCATACATTTATGTATGCACAAGAAATACGAAAAGGATAGGGTGATTGGGTCAATTGTTCCAACCTCTTGGTAAGCTACCTGACAGTCAAATCATGCCTGTCTAATTTGAAGAAAAAACGAAGACAGACATATGTACAGTTTTTAACTGTCATATGTACAGACATACTACTGTACCAAAAAGTAAGACCAGTTTTTAATTTAAATCGCGCGGGTAAACCGCACATTATAAATATTTTTTTTCTAAGTTGGCAGCATTGTGACAGACATCTGTGACAAATTTCATGTCAAAACATTCATTACTTTTTGCTTTACGCTTGGTTTTGTACGACGCTAAAAGTGCATTCGGCGATTTTTACAATATCTAGTTATATTGAGCAAAGAAGTTGCATTAAATTTTGTTAACG